TATTGGGATCAATCTATAATTACAGACCACACGATAGTAAATAACAAACCGGACATTGTATTAATTGATCGGAATAAACAAAGTGGGTATGTCATTGATATAGCGGTTCCAACCGATGATGACATCGGAAAGACCATTTCTGAAAACATTAGGAAATATCAAGACTTGTGCACAGAGCTTCGGTAACTTTACAAACTGAATCAAGTCCAGGTATATGCAATTATAATTTTCAGCAATGGCCTCATCCCAGAGGATACCATTCGCTCTGTCGAAAATTTGAAACTGCCACAGAAAGTGTTGGAAGAAGAACAAAAGGCAGTTCTCTTAGGCACAGCGAACATCGTCAGGAAGTTCTTAAACATAGTTTAACTTTTGAGCCTAACCCTTGATCTTGGTCCGGGTAGGTGAATATTTCTGGCAAAAGCCAAGAAAGTGTGAAATTCAAAAATAATAATAATCTTTTTATTTATTCTGGGAATAGTCCTTTTAGAATAATTAACAAGGACAAAAATGTGGACTTTTGAGCCTCAGATATATATATAAATAGAGTAAACTAATAGGTATAGTGGAAAACAAATCTTCTAACTTAAATCAATTAAAAAGAAAAATAAATAAATGAAAGAACAATGAAATGAAAATAAACTAATAATATATATACATATTTACAGAAATTTCTATTTACAATTTTATAGGGACTGGATGAAAAGGAAGTGATTGAATAGAGTATTGAAATGACGGATGTCAGGAGGGATGGAGTTCCATAGGGATGAGGATCGAATAATAAAAGATTTATCAAAAGCAGCAGTTCAGTATTGCGGGAGTGAACAGAGGATTTAAATTGAAGGAGCTTGGAAATGTATGAAGAATGGCGGGAGTGAATGACATGGAAGAGGAAGGATACCAGGAACCGCCGTAATTATTTCAGGAAATACTTACGGTCGTAGGAAGGATTTGAACCATCGCAGGACACTGTTGGATAGAATAAAGACTTAGACTTTTTTTTTTTTAGTTTTATTTTGCTAACAGTAATTCGAGCAGATACCATTATTCCAAACACCAAAATATCAGCCTTAAAACTTTATTTTGTCAAAATCGGTGAAGTTTAACCATATTTTACTTTCTATTTTTTTTTACCTGTACTAGTTAAGGAAAGTATTGTGATCGGGTCAAATTACCAATATGCGGTTTTCGACAGATCTACACGTTTCAGAACCCCTTGAGTCCGAAAAACACATTTTTAGCCATTGGTCTGTCTATGCAAAGATTTTCTTGGGAAATAGTGAACCGATTTTGTTGCTTCTTTTTTTATTTTGTAGGGTTTTGGCTACTGATGCCTGTGACACAAATTAGGTGCTCCATGCGCAATAAATGAAAAACATGTTTTTCTATAGACTGTAGAGCGAAAACGGCTCAAACGATTTTGATGAAACTTTTCTACAATGTTCTAATAATTGTCCTTTCAATTTTCGTATATGGACTAAATTCCTGAGAAAATTCAGGAAAAAAATTATAAAGAAAATCAAAATGTTATGGGCCTAACTCGCTAAGTATATATTCTATGGTAAAATTTATAATAAAACTTTTGAAAGATAATTAAATTACCAACAAAACAAAAAAAATCATCAGAACTGAACCAGTATTAGCGATGATACAGCTTATTCTATTTATTACACATGTTTTGACTAAGTACTTTCCTACCTATAGTAGGTAAGGAAAGTATTGCAATCGGGCAGAAAAAATGATGTTTAGCCTGTTTTTTTTTAAAGGTATTGAAATTCTCTTCAAAACTATATAAAAATCGTTCATCTCGGACAAATATTAACGAAATTACGGCTATTCAATTTCCAATGTAAGATTACGGGTTCATATCCTGGTGTCAAAAAGAGGAAAGGGTGAATGATAGAAAAAAGATAACTTGAGAAGGAGTTAGTCGGGGGTGCGATCAAATAAATACTAAATTAAAACATAGTAATTATTTTAATTTTGCCGACGTTTCGAAACACTTTGCAGGTCGTCTTCAGGGCTACAAAAGATACAAAACATGTTGAGAATAAAAAATAAAAATAAGTAGATATAAAATAAGAAGAAGTTGTCAGATACAAATAATAAATAAATAATAAATAAATCAGATTATTTTCCATTTATTTGTATCTTCTACATATATAATACTTAATATTTAACTACATTGTCACCCACTATATCTCTGATATCATCTTTTATTTCTGTATCTGACAACTTCTTCTTATTTTATATCTACTTATATTTAATTTTTATTCTCAACATGTTTTGTATCTTTTGTAGCCCTGAAGACGACCTGCAAAGTGGGTCGAAACGTCGGCAAAATTAAAATAATTACTATGTTTTAATTTAGTATTTATTTGATCGCACCCCCGACTAACTCCTTCTCATATTATATCAACGGTCAACCATCTCTACATCAAAAAAGATAACTAAGTGAAAGTAAGAAAATTTGTAGCCCGCATCACACAAGCTTCACTATTTCCTCTACTTTTAACAGAAATTATTGTTTGATAGCTTAGTAGCTCTGAATTTATTGATATTCATAACATTTAATTTGGAATTCATTTTTTTATTGCGAATAAATGTGTCTATCAATTTTCCTAAAAATAAATCTTGGAATATTAGTTTTATTGCTAATAAACGTGTCAATCAATCGTCAATGGATCGACATAAACATAAAATTGAGCAAAGACCGATATATCGGCCTTAGGACCTTATTTTATCGTGATTAGCAGAGTTTAACTTTTTTTTTTTTTTTTTTTTTTTTTTTTTTTTTTTTTTTTTAATGAACATCTTCCAGATTTTCTGGTCATATCCTTGAACCAATATACAGGCCTCTTTCACTTTGAATATTATTTTTATTGATAATAAATGGGTCAATCATCCGTCAAGGGATCAACATAAACATACATTTGAGCAAAGACTGATATATCGGTCTTATGTCCTCATTTTATTGAGATTGGTAGGGATGGACACATTTCTATTTAATGTTTTTTTCTAGCCCTTCCCTTTTCCTAATATGGACAGATATCAATAATCCAAAGACTGATATGCGACCTCAAAACCATATTTGATTGGGATTAATAAGAATTTCATTTAAAAATTTATTTTTAATACTAATCAAAATAAAAAAAATTAGTAGGCCGATATATCAGTTAAGGTCATAAAGATGGAATTTCGGTATCTGCTCAAATTAGGGAAAGAGGAGGACCAAAAATATATACAATAATAATATATAATTAAAAAAATTGTCAAACTATACCAATCTAGAGAAAATAAGGTCGTAAGGACGATATATCAGTATTTGGAATATCGCTATCTGCTCAAATGGGGGAAAGGGAATGAGAAAATAAAAATAATAAAAAATAAATAAAATGGTAAAATTCTTCCAATCTCAATAAAAAGTAGTCATCAGGCCGATATATAAGTTTTTAGAATATAGATTTCTTATCAAATTTATATTTATGTCGATTCTTTGGCGGCTGATTGACATTTATTGACAATATAAATAATATTCCACAGGAAACTTTATGAGTTATGATAAAGTAGGGACGTAAAGCCGATATATCGATCATTCGGATATCCAAATTTGCTGAGAATTTGAGGAGAGAATGAGAAAAAAAAAAAACTATAGTCAAACTCTACCAATCTTAATAAAATAAAGACATAAGGCCGATATATCTGTCTTTAGGATATCCGTATCAGCTGAAAATTTAAGGAGAGGATGAGCAAAAAAAAAAAAAAAAAAAAAAAAATAGTCAAACACTATCAATCTTAATAAAATAAAGTGATAAGGCTGATATATCAGTCTATAGAATATCCTTATCTGATGAAAATTTGAGGAGAGGATGAGCTAATTAAGTCTTAAGGCTGATATATCGGTTTTTGATCAAATGTATGCTGTTTGATGAATGTTGATCCCTTGACGAATTATTGGCAATAAAAATAATACTCAATGTGAAAGAGGCCGATATATCGGTTTAAGGAGATGACCAGAAAATTGTGTAGAGGTGCACAAAAAAAAAAAAAATTAAATAAATAAAAAAGAAGAAATCAAACTCTACTAATCTTGATAAAAAAAGGTTGTGAGGCCCATATATTGGTCTTTGGAATATCAGTATTTGCTGAAATCAGGGGAAGGGGAGGACCAGAAAAAAATTAAATAAAAATTTGTCCAACTCTACCAATCTCATTAAAATAAGGTCATAAAGCCAATATATTGACATTTAATAACTGCCGAAACCAATAATCTGCCAAAAGGCCGATATTAATATCGGCATTGGTCAATCTCTAACTCAAACCTTTACTGAAGAAGTGGTACTGGCATCAAATCAAATTACTGGCAGAAAAATGGGTGAAAGTAGTTGAAAACAATGGACTTTACTTTGAAGTATTCAATAGAGTTTAGAAGAAGTAATATGAAATAAAGCCATACTTATGCACCAGGACTTTTGTAAAAAGCTAGAATTTTTATTCAGAGACGATACAGTGAAATCAAAAACAGAAATATATTTCTTGAATGGAAGTTTTAAAGTAGGAAACACTATTTTAAGCTAAAAATTAAAAACCCTTAACAATATGAGCTAAGCACTAGCAGCCCATAATGTAGCTAAGTCTCCACTATCATGACAGATCCATTCCACCACTTTTTTTAACACTAATTATTTTTGAAAATAAACATCATAAAATTTATTCAGAAGTATTAATAAATATGATGTTATATAGATAAAAATGAGTCTAATGTAATTGATAAATGATTTTTTTTTTAATAAATGAGCAAAAATTAAAGCTAATTTAATTGATCACAGATTGAACGAATACTTTATAAATTTATGTTGCTTTATGAACTGTAATACAAATGATTATATCAAAAAATAGAGAAATAAGCTCATATAGCTGATTCTGTTTTTAATTGAAGCATGTTCCTTAAAGCAACTTAAAAAAAGCTTTATATTTAGAAAATGACTAAAAAAACTTACAACACAGCTAGACAAAGAAGGTGCAGACTGACCCAACACAGAATTTCTCATTAACATTAAATTTGAAACATCTGAAACATAATGAAGTATTAATGTACAAATGTATTTATAATCTGTACATCAAAAATTAAGAATAGATGTACAGTGATGTGAAAAAGTCTTTGAACAAACCATTTTTTTATAAAAAAGAAAAATTTTAAAAAAAAATTATCTTCTAAATTGTAAACTGATTAACCTTGCAGAGATTGTAGATATAATATATATTTAAATTAGCATTTTCAATTAACAACAAGCCAAGGGACCAATCCACTGTGTTGACGGGCAGATTTTTAAAAAATAACCTTGCTACTGGAAAACAATTAAAATTATTTATGTTTGCACAACCACAAACAATCTAGCAGAGAACTGGCTTAGGAAATAGCCGATGCTACTAGGACCCAAGAAAACTCCTACCATTAGGCCTTAATGGTTGTTTTCCCAGAGTAAAACTATATATTTGGTCTCTTAACCAGTGGAGGCGACTTAGGTTTGCGAATGAACATGAAAATTGGATGGGAGAAAAATGGAACAAATTTTTAAGGAGAGATGAGCCAAAATTTGAAATGTTTGGTTCCAAAAATATGCAGTAGGTTAGAAAAGATCTGGAATGGAATTTTTGAATCAGTATTTGAAACCAACAGTAAAAAACAAAGGCGGCTTCTTAATGGTTAGGGGGTGTTGATTGATTTGGTTTGTTTTTATCAGTAAGTAAACAGAAATGACTAAATGGTTTGGTGAGGTCCTCAACTCAATTGACAAGAATCCGTTTGGGGTTTGTTTATCTCTTTTGAAAGAGCAGAAGTAATATAATTAAGGCTACAACTGTAACTTAAAAGGATCAGTTGGAAGTTTGTTGGAGTTCTAATTGTGGTCTAAATAAAGGGAGGTTGTTCCAATGAACAAATTAATATTTGGAAATTCTCGGAATTTCATTTATACAGTGATCATGAGATCTATGAGATCTCTATAAATAAAGCACTACAAAGAACAATAAAACACTGTAAGAAAACTTTACAATAGTTACTGAGCTACAAATAAATAAACTGCATTCAATGATAAATACCAACTTAAACTAAATAAGTACTGCCAAAACCATTAAGGTTATATGCTGAATCATAAAGAGTATAGTGATAAAAGGACATATTTAAAATATTGCAATAACTTTAAAAATAGACATTAATATTGTATTGAACACACAGAATGGTTACATTATTCTTGACGGATAATGTAACTAAATAGATCAGTTAACTTTTTTTTAGGTCAAGAGCAAATAACTTCAAAGTAACAAATTTGCATAAAAATCATTTATTTGCATTAACGTCAAATAAAAAACAATAACAAAATGTGTAATAACACCAGGCAATATTAGTAAAAACTAATTCAATAATAGCATAATACTTGATAAAATGAATAATGCTTTGATAAATAAACAGTATCTGTCAATCTTATTTATTTACAGATTATTGTAATCAATCTACATTTCAATTTGACAACAATGTAAAAAGAGATGAACTAGATTATATTATGGCATAAATACCTGACTTATTAGTTGTTTTCATTTGTCTTTCTTCAGAATCGGAATAGCGTCTGCTTCCAGTTTCATCAACTGATTTATTCCAATTTTCTTCGATAGAAAGACCCAAACCAGACTTCAGCGATAAAGGCTGTACTCGACAACCAGCCCTACTAGGTCTACTTCTCCCAGCTTCCATTATGAGAATAAAAAAACTTAATATACTTGATGGCTCACATTATTTTAATTAAAATAAAATCTGAATGAAAATCTAAAACTGATAAAAAATAAAAAAAATCCAGGAGGTAAAAGCTTTGCTTCAACATAAACATTGTGAAGCAATTTATACAGTTTACAGAAATGATTCCACAAATATCAAACAACTAATAAACTAAAAAACAAAAGGTGTTTTGATTTTGAAAAAACAATTTAAACTAATTTATTTTCCACATCTTACACCCTGCCCATAACCCTAGAGACAAAAATATTGTCAACATTGGAACAACCACTACTACAACCTTAATAAAACAATAATATTTTTATTACAGTTTATGTCTATTAAGCCAACACATTTAATTACAAATTTTCAGAAATATTTCAAAAAAACAAATAAAATCGAAGATGTAATCATAAATAACAGAAAATGATAATAAAAATAAATCGTATTAACGTTAATATTTAATTACATTCAAGAATAAAGCAGGAAATCACTCTGATAATTATTAAAATGCCTTTTATTATTCAGAATAAATAATAATTAAGGTGAAATTTTGTGTTTCTGTATTTTTATAATAATTAATATAACAGTTAAATTAAGTGGGGAGGGGGGGGGCAAGTGGAATTGTAATTTCGTTCTAAAATCTATTCAGAATTCTGTTTTGTCTAATTTATCTTGCGCTATCAAGAAACTAACCTGAATACTTGAAAATGTTTCTACTTGAGCTGTGGGGAGATAAATCTGAATAATTTTGTCTTTAAAGAGCCATAGATTATTTCTAAACGGTATATAGGATTAGTGAAACTTTTCAACTTCCCTACTTGATCAATACTGTACTAGTCTAGGAACCAATGACAATAACAATTGGAAATAGAAATCAATGAGTCGTTGAATAAATATTCAACGGACGAAAGTAAAGCTACCGATAGTCTTAAATAGTAGAACTAGGATTGTCATACTAATGTCCAGACCAGGTGCATTTTGGATGAAATTTGGGCTCAAATAGGTCAAATATTGAGGTTCCATTCATGGGAAGGATAAACCCCAGCAAATTTCACATAAGTTATATTACATGTAGTAAAGTTATAAGCAATTGCGGTAATTTACGTAATCCTGTATGTTTTCAAAACTGTCGCGCTCAAACGGGTCAAATTGAGTTCCAATCAACCGACTTTTATTTTTATTCTGAAATATTCAGTCCATTTAACTGTATTTGAAACGCGGTTGGATCTTTTTATTTATTTCCGAAACTGACACAAAATGTAATCCAGTAGAATCTTTTACCATATTGGAAACACGGTGCAATTGATTTCAACTTGTTCGAAACACTCAAAAGTATAATAATCAGAAAGATTTAAATATTTGATTCATTGCTGGGTAAGAACTTAGTTGCAATTACAAGTAAAAATAAATATCGTAAGACGATCCAGAAGGTAAGATTATGAAAGTGACATACAAAATTAAATCTGCCTCAAAAAAGTTACCATGCAGTTAGTTTTTCTTTAACATTGCTGATAGTCTATTTATTATATTATTTTTATTAATCAGAAAGGGTAATAGGGACAAAGGTGTACCAACATGATAACAAGTCCTTGCTGGACCACTAATCTCATAGTAGGATGAGATACAACTTTAATCTGAACGTCTAAAAAGTTTTCATACATCTCATCATCATATTCTATCCTCAAGTACCAAGTAAGTTAGTTTGTTTGATTTGTTTATTTTCGTTTTAGTTCATTATTTATTCGGTTAGTGTCTGTTTATTCGATGGTAGTCTGTCAGTCTGCCATTCCTTTCTAGCTCTTCTTTTGGCTCTGATCAAATCCCTTATACACTGTGGGTAGTTAGGCTAGCTATTTATTTTTTTATGTTTCTGAATTGACACGGGCGGATATAGGGGGGGAGGCTTTCGGGCTGAAGCCCCCCCCCCAAATGGTAAAATATAACCATGTTTTATCGAAAAAAATATTAAAAAAGTATCTCTTAAAGTATTATTGTTCGTGTGATTAATATTAAAAGGGCTTTAGGAATCACTTAAACACCATTTCATACAGGTTGTTAGTTTCTTTCTTTTTTTCTAAAGCAATTATCGTTATTTTTATGAAAAAAAAAGCTTTCGGGCTGAAGCCCTCCCCCCAAAAAATTAAATCCTGGATCCGCTAGTGGGAATTTATGAGATTCGTGCAGATTTCTGGATATTCTTTGTCAATACTTCGATGGCTTCTTCGATTTCGTTTTCATTTTTTAGTGAGTGAGGAACTGAAAACCGCTGATTTAAGTTTGCTTGAAAACAATTCCAATCTATGTTTCCTTGAATAAGTGACGGGCGTTCTTCTTTTTGACATGGTTCTTCAAAAAGGACCAAATGTAGAAGGAAATGATCAGAGCATAGATCACAGCTAGATTTAACTGTGTATGGTATGGCCTGTAGTCCTTTAGTAATGAAGAAGTCCAGTAGGTAAGGTGATCTCGATGTAGGCCAATAAGTTGAAGCATTTGGTGATTTGGTGTTTAACGAAAGCTTATGGAGTGCAGACCAAAGATTTCTACAATACAAGCTTGGTATTGTAGTCGCCACTAGCAATGAAACACCTTCCTAGTTTTTCAAAGAAAGTACAAATTATGTCGGGTGTCATCGAATAACGAGGGGGACAGTATACTGTTGTTAATGTTATGGAGTGCAGTGTTATAGCAGTAGCCTGTATGTCTAACATTTTTGGCAAATGTATAGGATGATGTTTTGACAATGATGGCAGTTCTGCCATGTGAAATGTTGTCTGGGTGATCTATCCTGTAATTTGTGTAATCTGGGATATTTACTTTATTTCGAGAAGTGGGGTGTGTTCCAGTTATCAAAGCAATGTCAGTTCGTTTTTCATGTATGTATATGTCTAGTTCGGTTTTATTTTTGAGAAGTCCATTTGTATTCCATAGAAGTATGGATAGAGAACCCACAGCTAAGCTTTTATGGGCCGTAAACAGGACAGTAGGTTTGTGTTACTTGTGAGAGTTGTTGAAGTAGACTGAAAAGAGGCTGTATGATATTATTTAAACCATTTAATAATTGGTAAAGTTGAGAAGAAACATTTTCAGCAGGAAGTCCCCACTTTTTTTTTATTTTAAACTTTAGTTCATTTAAGGGCGTTGTGTTTGTTTATTTATTTAGTTTAGAGCGAAAATAAAGGATGGTTATGTACAGTGAAAATAATAATATAAAAGTTTATTTCTTCTAGGTAGACAAAATTAAAATTTCTAAACAATGACAACGAAGATTTAATATTTAATGAAATTTTTGTTGTTGTTTTGGTTTGAGATATTTTTCGAAACGAATAACTACATGACCTTATTTTCTTTATGTTCAATACAATTCTTAAATCTAAATTTGAGAGCATGTCTAGTTATAGGAGATATTAGTGCATACCTAGAAATTGTTCGAACATTTATACATACAAACATAATTTTAAATATATTTAACTACCTTCAGGCAGACCATGGCGGTTTAAATTAATACGAATTTATCTTTAACAATGAATGCTAAAAATTTGTTAGAAATCAATTTTCCGGAGGCTATTGGAGTTTTTTTTAAATCTCAGTATTTGTAAAAATTTGATTTAAAAACACCTTTTTTTGTTAATAAAAAAGAAAAAAGATTCTAAGTAAAAAAAGTTTTTGAACTGATTATATATTTTTTAAATTAATCAGAATGACAGTAAAAAGTGTATAAAGTTTCAAGAAAAATTACCAACAATCAGCTCGAACCAAGCAATTTTACAAAACCTACAAATCACGTGAAATTTCACAAATTAACTAGATTTTCAATTAAACTATTTACTAAAAACAGCATAAAATGTTCATTCTGCCAACTAACAATATTCTCACAAATTGCCTAAGGTATCAATTAAACAGTTTATCTAGTTTTTAGAGGTATAAAAAAAAATGTAGCCGATCTCACAGGTTTTCTATTACTCGGCCCATTGTTGGTTGAACAGTTTGATATCGTATCTAAGATATCGATTAGATATCTCGGAGTGCAGATTGACGCCAGACTTCGATATGATGAACACTTGCACAAAGTTAGCACTAGAGCAGCACAAGTAATTAATGAATTGACCAAGACTATGCCAAATATTGGTGGACCAAAGGAAAACTTCAGAGAAAACTTCTGGCTAATGTAGCGAGTTCCACGCTTTAGTAAGCAGCACCGATCTGGGCGGAGGCCTGCCAAGTGCAGCAATATGTACGCAAAGCTATCCATGTGCATCGAAGAAGTACCTTGCGTGTCACTCGAGCTTCTCGCACTGTATCCTACGATGAACGCAGTCGGATGTTCCGAAGAAAACGAGAAGAGCCGGGTTCTCACTGGGCTAACTTAGTAAAAGAGGAAGGAAATCATACTCTTGAAAAATGGCAGATACGCTGGAACGCCTCATTTTCTGGAAGATGGACCCACCGTCTGATTCCCGATTTATTAACATGGATATCCCGGAAACATAAGGAGGTAGATTATTACCTCATCCAACTGCTTACTGGGCATGGTTGTTTCAGGACCTACTTAGCCCTCATTAAAATTGAGAATAAAGCATCGTGCCCAACTTGTGATCCCGTGGATGAGACAGTGGAGCATTCATTCTTGTGTTATATAGGTTTGGCAAGAGAAAATGAAGGGCTAGACAAGAAATTCGGAACAAAATTATCTCCGGAAAACTTCGTCGCTTTAATGATGACTAGGCAGAAGAATCGGAGTGCTATAACAGACTATGCAGCGCAAATCGGCAGAAGGCTCAGAGCACATCAGTGAGAAAGGAGAGGCCAGAGAATTGATTAGCTATAATAAGATGCTCAAGAAAGAAGTATGCATATAGCCCTTCTATCCCCTGCGAAGAAATGCTTGACAGCAGTTCCGTGGGGTGGTAAAGAAGAATTTGGAGGAGTTTTTAGTGGGTAGGAATCTCGCACTGTTGTATGACTTTGATGGTTGCACTTCGTCTAATGAAAGTGAAAATTTTTCCCCTACCCAGAAATAAAAAACAAACACACACTGTTCGAGTACAATAAAATTTATTATTATATAAGATTATCATAGAATACTACCAACTGTATTGATTCACATTGTTGTAATTAAGTATGTCACATGATTGCGAATTTTCATTGACACACACACACACACACACACACACACACACAGAGGCACTTATATAATAATAATAACCTGTATTTTATTAGGTCCTAGTCTACCTTCGGGCGCCTCTCCAAGTGGAGGATAGTCGAAAATTCACCACAGTGGGTACCGGGGAAATGAAATACCGGGGATGGACCAAAACTACTAAAATCCAGACGCGATGTTTCCCAAATTGGGCGGTAAAATGGTCAACCATTGTTTCCTATGTCAG